AAAAAAAAAAAAAAAAGAATAGAAAATAACTGAGCATTGTTCTAAATCACAGTAAGTGCTGTGGAATGAAATTGTAACACCAGTTAGAGATGCAGTCGTGTGCTTGTGTAATAAGTAATAATCAGGGTTTGCTGACTGCTCTCACAGATGACCCCAGAATGCCAGTGGCTGCTCACCACAAAGGTTTGCTTCTAGATGGCATCATAACCCAGTGTCATCTGGTGGTGACAGGTGGAGTGGGATTCTGCTCCACACAGTCACCCAGGGACCCAGCCACTGCCATCTCGCTTCCCTGCCACCCTTTGAGGCTTCAGCCCTTGCTTTTTTGTGTGATGTTTTCCCCTACTTATATTCCTTTTTTTGTTTTGTGTTTTGAGTGAGGGTCTCCCTCTGTCACCCAAATTGGAGAACAGTGGTGTGATCACTACAATTACAGCTCCCAGCAGGATTGACTTCCTGGGCTCAGGTGATCCGCCTCAGTCTTCCGAGCAGCTGCGACTACAGGTGTGCATCACTGCACCCAGGTCTCACTATGTTGCCCAGGCTGGTCTCGAACTCCTGGGCTCAAGCAATCCTCCCACTTCAACCTCTCAAAGCACTGGAATTACAGGTGTGAGCCACCACCCAGCCTCCAGATCATACTCCTAAGCAAGACATAGCTTAGCTTTGCCTTTTTTTTTTTTGAGTTGGAGTCTCATTCTGTTGCCCAGACTGGAGTGCAGTAGCACATTCACGACCACCCCAGCGTTGGCCTGCTGGGATCCAGCAATCCTTCCACCTCAGCCTTCCAAGCAGCCAAAACTACAGGTGCACACTACTGCTAATTTATTTATTTATTTATTGTAGAGACAGAGTCTCGCCAGGTTGCCCAGGCTTGTCTCGAGTGTGCTCGGGCAGTCCACTCACCTCAGTCTCCCTAAGTGCTAAGATTACAAGCTGAGCCACCAAGCCTGGCCAGGTTTGCCTATTTTTATATGCAGCATCATGTGCATTTTGCTTTTTTTTTTTTTTTTTTTTTGAGTTGGAGTTTTGCTGTTACCCAGACTGGAGTGCAATGGCACGCTCACGGCCACCGCAGCCTCGACCTGCTGGGCTCAGGCAATCTTTCCATCTCAGCCTTCCTCAACCTTCCAAGTAGCTGGAACTATTTTTTTTTTTTAATTTTAGAGACAAGATCTTGCCAAATTGCCCAGGCTGGTCTCAAACCCCTGGACTCGGGCAATTCTCTCGCCTCTGCCTCCCAAAGTGCTGGGATTATAGGCATGAGCCACCATGCCTGGCTCAGTTTGCTTTTTTTGTTGTTCAGCATTGTCTGCTGAGTTTTCTCCATGTGGATGCAGGGGCTAAGAACCATTCGTTTTGTTCCCACTGCTGTCAAGTATCCCATGGTATGAATATACCACAGCAGAAGTATCCTATAGTGTGAATACACCCATGGTAGATATATCCCACGGTGTGAATATACTAGAGTATAAGTGTTCTGTTGCCAGATATTTGGCATTTGGGTTGTCATAGCTTTCTGCTCTCATGTTCACTAATGTTCTAAACGTCCTTGACCTTCTCTGCTGAGCACATGTGCAAAAGTTTCTCTTTGGCACTGGTTGCAAACTGGAGGTCACAGCCATCTGTGGGTCCTTAAATGGCCAACATATATTTTAAACAAATGGAATGAAATAAAATAGAAATAGGGCAAAATATGATTAGCTTGTTGGCATGCTTTACATGTCTCACAGAACTTTCCCTTCCATGTATGTCATGTGTGTACTGAGGCATGATATAGGTTGCATTTCCTTTTCTAGAGGTAGAAAATAAATGTTTGGAATGAAAGCCACTGCTCTAAAGTACTTACCTAGAATAGGAATTGCAAGTCACCTACCCTCAACTTGGAGAAAATTATCACCTGATTTTTTTTCTTTTTTTTTTTGGAATCAGGATCTTACTCTGTTAATGTAGGCTGGAGTGCGAGGCATGATTACAGTTCACTGCAGCCTCAACCTCCTGGGCTCAGGCGATCCTCCTACCTCAACTTCCTGGGTGGCTGAGACTACAGGCATGCGTCACCACACTGACTAATTTGTTTTTGAAATGAGGTCTTGCGATGTTGCCCAGGCCAGTCTTGAACTCCTGTGTTCAAGCAATTCTCCTGCCTCGACCTCCCAAAGCACTGGGATTATAGGCATGAGCCACCACTCCCGGCCTATTTATTTTTTAGAGACAAGGTTTTGCTCTGTCATCCAGGCTGGAGTGCAGTGGTGTGATAATAGCTTCCTGTAGCCTCGAGCTCCTGAACTCATGCCATCCTCCCACCTCAGCCTCCCAAAGTGCTGTGATGACAGGTGTGAGCCACCATACCTGCAGCACCAGAGGTATTTGTCATAGTGGTCATGCAATGATCGAGGCTCCCACTGGCAGCAGCCAGAAGTGCTGTGTCTTAGGGAGCCACTCCGCCCCAGCCATGCTATGCCGGGGACATTGGCCTGACCTTCCGAAGGATGCCATCTTTGCCTCTGTCTCCCATGGGTTGTGTCTCTTGGTCCCCCCTTCCCCCAGCTGTCCAGGCCTCTAGTCACCAGTAGGCACATCTGTTTGCTGTCCACAGGCCTGCCGCCACCTTGATGGAGACCCCACTACCCTGCATAATCTCGCTGCTCCCTGACCACCTTCCCCTCTCTGTCTAGGAGGAGCGGCTGAAGCTCCCGATTCTCGCTGAGGAGCAGGTGATCATGGAGGCAGTGGCCGAGCACCCCATTGTCATCGTGTGTGGTGAGACTGGCAGCGGGAAGACCACACAAGTGCCTCAGTTTCTCTACGAAGCAGGCTATAGCAGGTAGGGGTTGGACGCGGGCTTCTCTGCAGGTCCCTTGGGGATGGTGGAGATGGGGCCCAAGAAAGTCCCTGAGAGGCTGGGCTCCCAGAGATCCAATCCCAGCTCTGCCCTGTGCGTGCTGTGTGACTTCAGACCAGCTACTTAACCTCTCTGGGCCTCTGTTTCTTCAGCCTGAGATAGAAATAACAATAGCACCTGTAGCCGGGCTCGGTGGCTCAGCCTGTAATCCCGCGCCTTTGGGAGGCTGAGGTGAGTGGATTGCCTGAGCCCGCGGGTTTGAGACCCGCCTGGGCAGCAAGACCTCATCTCTACAATAAATCAAAAAA